ACAAGGAGACTCAGGAAACTGTCACAGCACAGACAAGCAAGCCTACAGGGACACCGTGACTAGATGTACTATGATATCCTAGATGTGATGGAACAGAAAAAAGACATTAGATAAAAACTAAGGAAATTATAGACTAAAGTATATAATTAAGTATATAGACTTAATTATATAAAGTACAGACTTTAGTTAATAATAATGTATCAATGCTGGTTCATTAGTTGTGAGGAATGTAAGATATTAGTAATAGGGAAAATGAGTGTGAAATACATGGGAATTCTATACTATCTTTGTAACTTTACTCTAAATTTAAAACTATCTTGGGAGTCAGAAAACAAGGCTTACGCAATGAGAAACAGAGGGACCCAGGAGAGAGAAGGTCAGGCTGGGTCAATCCAAGTCCTCACTGGGGCTGTTTCTGGAGCTCTTGGCAAAAAATTCTCTTTTTATTTGGGATCAAATAATCTTGGGGCTGCTGATGGTCAATTTTTATTCTAAAATAAAAATTTTATTTAAAAAAATCAATCCCGGGAGTCATATTAGCATTAGTCAGTGAAGTGAGGTAGGGAGTTACATTAGCAGCTAGAATCTCTGATACTTGTGAGGACAGTGCAATGGTAGGCAAAGGGTCGTCATAGCAGCCAAGTCTGAAACAAGCAAAAAAAGTAAACTATAGTCATTTATATTGGCTGACTAGACCTTCAGGCCCAAAATCTTTAATAGCCAGGGAGAGGCAGGTAGGGGCCAGGGAAATGTTCTCACATATATTGAAGTCTTTTGTAGAGAAGACATTCAACATTTAATTTCGGAAGAATAGGACAGAGAAAAGAGGGTTAGACAGAAGTCAAGGGCCTTGAATACAAAAGAGAAAACCTCCTAGATGGCAAGATTGCTTATAAGGCAGAATGTATAATCAAGGAAGTGTTAGAATCTCTAAACCTGGAAACTCTTTACAGAATCCAAGACAGAGAGGAGGCCCCTGAGGAAGCAGTGCAGACAAAATGAGCCCTGGAGCCCCTTCCTGCAGTCTATTTTTAACAGCAACACGTCCTTAAAACAAAAGGGTGAAATACAAAAGCAAGTCATTAGTGTTCAAATTGAATACATCTAACAATTTTTATGTAGGTCACATTTTCCTGAGGATTTTCTTTACCATAGCAGTTCATTTCAAAGCCTTTCTTTAGAATTCTTACAAACACCAGGTACCACAATGGACAGATACCATGATGTGTCTTTACTACAAGGTTGAAGTGATCTAAGTGGGAAAACACACACATATAAACCTAGATCCTGAATGCCCAACTCAATATGATCCTGTTCAATCTCCTTGCACTGAAAGCATGTTTGTTACAGCGGATCCTGAACATACAGGAATTCTAGAAGAGGGCGTGAGAGACAGAGACTAAGTAGTGGGTGGGCAGAGGAGTCAGAAAACAAGGCATGTGCAACGAGAACCAGAGGGACCCAGGAGAGAGGGTCAGGCTGGGTCAGTCCAGGTCCTCCCTGGGACTCTGGGCAAAAATGCTCCTTTCATTTGGGATCAAGTAACCTTGGGGCTGCTGATGTTCACGGATGTTGCCATTTGGAAAGCGCTCGCCTGAGATGGAAAGCAATAAAGAGAAAATAGGAAGTGCTGGAGAGGGGGAGCAAGAGTGAGCAGGTGTGTAAACATATCTGTGACACGATGCTATCTTGTGAAACTCTGGATCCAGCCATACCTGAAGCCTTCTGCTGTACCAGTTGTATGAATCCATGCATTCTCTTGCCTTCAACTGGTCTGTGACTTTCAATGGAAAGAATCATAAGTAGAACAGGCTTAAGGAAGATTGAGAGGGGAGGGGCACCAAGTGAAATGGAGCAGGAGCCATGGACTGAGGTAGGACAAAAGTAAGAGCAGTGCCTTTGGTGCAGTCAGAATCTACATGAGGTGAGAGGACCCTTTTAGGTATAAAGAAGACAGAGGGACCTTTGGGCAAATACTAAGAGAGATGGAAAAATTATCTTAGAAAAAATGGTCACCCCGATCTCCTGGATGAATGGACAGCCATGCTCTGCCCTTAAATGCAACACTTCGGGATGACACACGTTTCGGGTGGATGAGAATCCTGCTACACTATGTGAAGAGACATTCTACTAGGAAAAGAATTTTCTGCCCACTTCCTCCACTCCATTACATGAGTAGTTTCTTAATGATAATAAAGCACGGCATTTACCATACCAAATAGTTAATAGGATGCGGAACAAAAACTGAACCTGTAAACTTATTGCCTTGATTTCTTCCCATCCTGAGCACCCATGGGTGCTAGACAAAAGCTAGCATTTTATTCCTGCTACTTAGTCTCCAGACTTGGAGCAACTCTTGTTGAGGTAATCAGGTTCGCTTTTCAAAATAATAACCAAGAGCTGTTCCTTGTTCCCTTTCTAAAGTCACACTGACATGGAGCAATTAGAGTAACCCATTATAGAGAATTCCCTGCTTTGTTCAATTTATAGACATCAATGGACACCTCTCCTGGGAATTCAAAGAACAGACTCGTGTGGGCGAGCTAGGCTTGCTGGTGGCGGAATAAAACACATTTGCTCACTGCTTTGTTTTAACAAAGACAACATAAGTAGTGATTACAGTTCACTGGGGTTTTGCACCAATCCTCAAAACGCTGACAGTTACTTAAGTCACTCACTGGGTGGAATGATCATCTTGAGAGGAACAGAGGGTACCATTTATATTATAAAGTGGAGTGAGCACATGAGACAAAGCATCAGCAGGCGTGGTAGAAGAGATCTTTGTCAGAATAAGAGATGATTACATTTAGGAATTAGACAGCAACTGTACTGAGTACTCGTGGTGACATGAACAACAGCTCAACTGTGCCATTACAGAGGTGAGCATAATTCTGGGAGCTTCTCTCTCTTTCCAAAACAGTCGATGCAGGTTGGCCTGAGTATATCACTCAAAGGCTTGATAGAAATTGCAACTATTGTGCCTTGTGGAGCCCTTTTAGAATGGACAGAACAGAAATCTGGAATGCCATGCCACTGGAAATAAGATACTGTATTATTAAATACTAGAGGCCCAGTGCACAAATTCGTGCATGGGTGGGGTCCGGCTGGCCCGGCCCCAATTGGGCCGGGTCGGTGTGGTGGAGGTGCCATAGGTGGTTGTCCCTGCCCCTGGTCGAACTCCTGGTAGAAGGGACAATTTGCATATTAGCCTTTTATTATATAGGATTAGACACTGAAAGGCCACCAATGATCACTAATACAACTACCCATGCAGTCCTGTATTTGCAAGAAGCAAAGAAATCAGCAAAACAGGCATCTGGTCCCTTTTCAGAGCTGTTTATTTTGCAATTAGCAAAAGGGAAGTAAGCTATATTTGACTTTTTATTTTTATTTTGGTAAAGTGGAGTGGCACCGGGAGATAAAATGGATAATTTAGGCCAGGGGTCCTCAAACTTTTTAAACAGGGGGCCAGTTCACTGTCCCTAAGACCGTTGGAGGGCCAGACTATAGTTTAAAAAAAAACCATGAACAAATTCCTATGCACACTGCACATATCTTATTTTGAAGTAAAAAAACAAAACTGGAACAAATACAATATTTGTATTTGCATGTGGCCCGCGGGCCGTAGTTTGAGGACCCCTGATTTAGGCTGTTGCTTGTGACAGATTGCCTGATACAAAAAGATTATAAAGTTGAGGGTCTTTCAATGAGACCTACTTATCTGAGTCTGCTCAGATCTAATACTGTGCCCAAATTATCCTTAATAGGTGCATATATTTTTTTCTATTTCTATAGGTTCTGGGAACAAATATGTATAATTTTTATCAGCAGATAAGAAGTAATATTTTAAATAATAAAAAGTAAAAGTACAAATAAGAAGTCATATTTTAAGGTTTCTAAAATAGAGTCTATGATCTCACTCAGAGCCCCTCCTCTGGTGGCCTTCAGGAGAGATGCTCAGTCAGCACGAGATCCGAGGCCGCGTGCATTCCAGGGCCCGGACTCTGCCCCTGGGGCCGGGATTTTGAATAATTTAGCCCGTGAATTTCATCTACACCTCTTCCATCTCTATGCTGGAAATGCTTGTTAGTCAATAATAACTTGTCAAAAGACAATGGCAATAAACGACTTCCCCTGAAGTTCACATTCCAAATGATGTGTTTTCCTAGCATTAACCTTCGAATGGTTAACTCTGGTACTAAGTTCAGCGCAGATTCTGTTTCTTTCATGTTCTTGCTGTTATTTTCCTTTTTTCTACCCTGTTTCTGTCCTCTGTTTATGCATTCAAATCTGCCATTTCCTTTATTCCTTCTTCATGTTTGCTTTGCCTCTATTATAACTGCCTACCACATGCTTCTGAACGAATGCCTTTAAGATGTATTTATTTTATAGTTATTAAATAATGTCTATGTGCCCTAAAGTTTTCAAATTATTTTTCTCTGAGTCATTGGTTCTTGATAAAAAAAAAAGAAGTTTCACATTTTTATTTCATACCCTATTACTTAGTTTTCTTGAAATCTATAATTAAGTTGTCTCTTAACCATCTCTTTTCCAGAATAATTGTTTTTCTCACATTCTCTATTTTCAAGCACCTTAATCACTTCTAATATTCTCTTCTTAGACATTTTTTCATTAATTTGTATCAGTTAAAATAAAAAACGTCAGCGTGTGCTCAGCGCTGAGTTTTGAGATAAGTTCCTTCCCTTGGGAAGTTGTGAGGGGGACTGGCTTTTGTTCTTGAGACAATCGTGGTTCAATCTTCCACGATTTTGTTTCTAAGGTTTCATATCAAGCACTGTTAACATGGACCATTTTTGGCTTCCCACACCCCACACAGGGAAGCGAGATTACTTCCTTTTGCAGAACCACCAAGTGCAGAGGCTCAGCTGAGCTGGATTCTGGCACAGTCTTCTGACAACCTGGACACATCCCATAGGGTGACACATTCCCAATGAGAGTACTCAGTCCAGTTCCTCAGCCGTTCCCCACCAGTTACTTACTCTGGGATGTGGAAAGATTGGAGAAGGCTGACTTTGTTCGGCCTGCTAACCATTCCAGGCTCTCATGCATGTTGGCCAAGGCTTTGAGGTCACTGACGTCACGCAGGATGTCTTGTGGAGGGATTAATTTATCACCCAGGTTCCCAATAAGAACTTCTGACTCCTTGCCAAAGGCTGCCCTGCAAAGCAAACCAGAGACATTTCACATACAGCACGGCAAAGACTGGGGTGGGCAATACTTTTTAAGACATGCCCAGCATGAGGTTGTTATAATCACTGTTATTGCAGCATGCTACTTTTCCTAGGTTTAATTTTATGAGGATACTATCATATACCTGCTTAAAATTAGTTTGATCCTGGAAAGAGAGCTCTTGGAAGAAGAAGCAAATGACCTGATGCTTGTACCTTCAGCAGCAACCGGTGTGGGCCTGACCTACACAGGGATGGTCCTAGGGATGCTCGATGCCTGCTCTCTTCCGGGATTCCCCTTACCTCTTCTCCCGCTGTGCAAATTGACGAATAGCTGATGGTGTTAAATATATATATTGTTTGAAGGTATTTGAAGTAAATAAAACCACTAAGTTAATCTGGCAGTTAGAAAATGTTCTGGAATGCTCAAAAGCAAAGGGGCCCAGCCTCTTTAAGGAGCAGATTATAGTTGGGAAGGAAGGCAGGCCTCATTCATTCATTCACTCATTTACTTATTCTAAAAAGGCTCTGGGCACATAAATGAGGAAGCATTTAGGCACTCATCATTTGGAAAGAAAGCCCAATAAAAATCAATGTCAGGATCCTTTTACTGACTGGAAGAAAACAGTCAGGTGGATTTCACACAGAGCCCAGTGTCTTCATAATGTTTTTGGAGGGTTGAAAATCATGCTACGTGGGGTCGCAGAAGGATGAGCTGGAGGGGACCGGAGATCCTGCATGGCTCAGCCACTGCACAGATGAAGAAAGGAAGGTGCCGAAGGTTAACTACTTTGCCTGCAGGACACATAGTGGCAGGGCTGGGACTCACGCTGTCCAATTCCCACAGCTCTCTTTCTTTAAAAAAGAGAGGACAGAAATGATAAAAGATAAAGGAAGATGTTAGGGAGAAAAATCCTGTCTTTTCAGGAAGTACCTAGAGGTGGGCAAGCAGAGCTCATGGCGGAAGCTGGAATAGGCACCTGGAGTTTCCCATGGAAGCCTCCCCACAGCTTTTAAAACTCAAGATACCTTCCGTGAGCAGCAGCTCTACTTTATACGTAGAACAAACTAAATTAAGTTTCAAGTGAGCAGTGTTAATAAGAGCTGTCATATATATTCAGAGCGATGCTTAATGACACACAGCATTTGGTGCCCAGCACTATAGCAGACACCCAGCGTTGGCAGAAAGAGCTGCTGTGGATTAAATGCCTATTAAAAGTATGTAGCTGAAGTGGTGGTTCATGATTGGGCTTATTTCAACAGGAGAAAAAGTCAGAATTGATGGAGTTGGGTGAGTCATGTGGACAGAGCACAGAAACGCGAGTGCACTTGGGGGTCTTGTACCAGATCCTGGGGTGGGACCCAAAAGTCTGCATTTCAAAAGTTTCAGGCTGCTGGCCTGGAAGCATGCTTCCTGAGTGGTAAGGGTTGGAGCACAGACTTCAAAGTCAGGCAGACAGGGTCTGAGTCCTGCAGGCGCCTCTTCCTTGCTGTATTATTGGCTAGGGTGATGGCGCTGACCTCCTATGGAGCATTTTAAGAAGTAGATGAGGTGACCTTTAAAATCTTTATTGGGGAAATTTCAATAATTACAGAACTAGAGAGAATAGCGTAGTAAACTCCTAGGCAGCCACTGCTCAGCTTCAATTATTAGCAACTCACAGAGAGTCTCTTTCATCTATCCTTATCCAGAATTTTAAAAAATATTTTATTGATTGATTTTTAGAGAGAGAGAGGAAGAGGGAGGGGGGCAAAGAAGGGGGAGAGGAAAAGAAGGGTAAGGGGGGTGGGAGGGGGGAGGGATTTGTTGTTCCACTTATTTATGCATTCATTGGTTGCTTCTTGTATGTGCCCTGACTGGAGATCGAACCTGCAACCTCAGCATATTGGGATGACACTCTAACCACCTGAGCCACCCCAGCTAGGAGATGCCTTATCCGCAATTTTGAAGCAAATCATTCAGCTGATATTCTTTGGTGCCTAACACAGTGCATGGAAAGCTAACAAACTGTAGCTATTATTATCCTTAGGTCTGTTGAAGTGGTTGGTTTTCTTAGTGTCAACCTGGGGTCTGCTGTGATGAATAATTAAAATAGATAAGAGAGATCAGAATAAGTTGGATCTCAAGGGCTAGTTTCACAAATGGAACCTTGCAACATCAGAGCAAATGCCGCTGTGTTTCAGAGGCCAGACTTTTCTCAAAAACTTCAAGAGGTAAATCATTGCGGCAGAAGCCACTTGTGGGCTATGCGGTATCCATTATCCCATGCCTGCTTAGTAAAAGGGCCCTGGCATTGTTGGGGTCGGCATGTACCCAATCTAAAAACAAAATTAAAAAAACACACAACACGAAACCCCATTCAATTTCCCAGCCCCTCCTGCCGATGTGGCGGTCAATGAAATAACAGCTGAAGTCATAGACAGGTTTCCAAGAAACATCTCTCAAGCATCTTAGTTGGCAAGAACCTCTTTTGTGCCCTCCCCCGCCCCTTACTGGACGCAGCCCTGGCATCAGGTGCCCTTGAGCATGAAAATAATGCTGAGAATAATGGAGCCAAAGACAGGAGGGCTTGGAGGCATCGATGACATCATGGAGCTGCAATGCAGCCCCAGATAATGCACTTCTAGGCTTAGTTCGTTTTATAGGAGAGAAAGTGAAACCTTATTTGTTTAAGCCATTGCTATTCCAAGTTTCTGCTACTAGCCGCTAAATGTAATTTCCACTGACACCATTATCTAATTAGCATAAGTGATGTCATTCTTGGAAAACTTTCTCTAAATTAGATATCTCTGAAATCGAGTTACTGCGAAAGCAAGACAATGTCTCTTCCATGATCTGAGCCCAGCAGACAGTACAATATCTCCCCCTTGGCTGTCACGCAGTCGAGTTGTAAATATGTAGTTTGCTTAATCTGTCCTTATATATCCACTCTCCCAGCCCCTTAATCATCTTCGATAGATATAACAAATAGTGCCTCTGAGCTCGGTGGTTAAAAGCAGCAGGGGAGGCAAACAGCTTTGAAAACCCGGCTCGGAGCCATCTTTATGCATGGAGGTGTAACCCTGGGGGGAATGTGACAATCAAGACAAATGCATTTATGTCGAAGTCGAATGTGCTGTGTGGGATCTGAGGCCTGGGCATGTCTGCGGTCTGCCTCTGAGGCCAGATGCCGAGCCCACTCCCCTCCGGCTCCCTGAGATCGGCTTAACCTGCTCCGAAGGGAGCTCGGTGGACCGAGAGAAACACACACTGCCGCGCGCTGCACACATCGCAGACATCTCATTTGACAGGAATCCATAATCACCCCCTAACAACCTGGAGAGGGCCCCGCAACCATGACATCCAGAATAAATGATTGACAGCTATAACCATTTCACACAGAAAGTCATTCCTTCGAGGATTTGTGTGTCAAAGAGCTTGGTGGACGGTCTTTGTGTGTTACAAAAACCTTCAGGGGACGGCTTTAGCTGCAAAACCATGGACTTTTTTCTAAACCCTCTAATTTATTAAGTAAACTATGGTATAGTCACACTATGGAAAAGTGTTCAGTCATCAGAGATTATATAGTAGAAAATACTTGATACCATAGAAAAATGTTGCATATAGTTTATTTTTAACCATGATATGCAGTTGAGTAAAACAAGCTGTTATAAAACTGAATGCACCACATACTATTCAAAAAAGAGTAATTATAGATTTTTATGAACTGAAAAAGACTGAATATCTATACACCAACATGTTAACTGTGTGACCGGATTATTTTCCTTTGTGTTGCTCCGGATTTTCTACGTTTTCTCCAAAGAACATGTCTACTTGTAATTAAAAACAAAAATTACAAACCCTACGGGAATGAGAAAACCTTTCAGATGGACACATGAAGAATTTCACCAGGGGAAATGGGAGGGGGAGGGATTACAGTCACTTGAATGGAACTGGGAGCGACGGGTGAGAGCTGGGGGCTAGCTCAGGATGGTCAGTGTCCACCACAGAGGGTCACGCTGCCAGACTGACCACACCCAGCACCTGGGCCAATGCGGTTTCTTTCTAGATCTGAATCGTACTTACTCTTTATCACCTGCTTATTATGAAAGCGCAGTACTTAATGGAGATGTTACGTGTTTTTGAGGGAAATGGGAACAGAATGATCATTTTCTTGAGAAGTGAAGTGACAGGTGCTCCGTAACTGCCCAGTGATTACCTGACACGGCCAGGAAGAGAAATGTGCTTGCTGTGGGTACCCTGAGTCCCATGTGAGGAGTCACTGTCACCATTGTAGGCCAACATGCTCACAGAGGAGCCCAAGAAACTGAAGAAGGGTGTTCAACCTGTTAAGCTTAATTTCCCCACACAATTATCATCTTTAAAGAGCTTGATCTGACAAGACTTCATTTAAGAGAGTTTTGCGAGAGCGTGAAATCTGTGTAACTTAATTTTACCACACAATCATCATCGTTAAAGAGGTCTATCTGACAAGAATTCATGTAAGAGAATCTTGCCAAAGATGCCGAAAATTGTCTCCATTTAGTCTTTAAATAATTCTGTTATCCACTGAAATCTTAGGAAGGAAAAAAAGAAAATCTGCATTTCAGCAGGCTAAATGCACTTATGAGAGAAACACTGCAAATCGTTTCTGAGCGACGGATTTGCAGATCTGTGCTATATTTGGTCCCATAATATACACACTCAAGACTCAGTGCTCTCTCTCCCTGCCCCATTCACCAATCACCCAAGACTGCTTCCTACTGCTGAACCCACTGAGCGACCAGGAAACACGGACAGAAGGTCAGTCCCCCTGTGACCCAGTCAGAGCAGGGGAAGGGCGAGGACTAAAGCAAGCCGGGCTAATGGTTGCGAGGTGGCATTTCCTCTACGATTTCATATGAGGAGGATGTGAGTATTATAGTCACTTGAACTGAACTGGGAGCAGTGAATGCTTGGTCTGGTGGCATTTCCCCTACGATTTCATATGAGGAGCTGGTAGGGGTTCAC